AAAAAAAAAAAAAAAGAGTTGGATGCGTAACTGCCTGAGCCACCCAGCCGCCCCTAGATTAGTAAATATTTTTAAATTGAATCTAAGAAATAGTATTTCTGTCTCAAGTTAGCTACCTTGATTAAATATCACTTAATTTTAACAGCCTATGTTGCATACATTTGGCAAAATACTTTAATTTTTAAGAAATATTGTTTGCCAATTAATCTAGTGATTTAGGAGATGGAGACAGGTATAATCACCTATTAACACTGATTGATTTTTTTTTCCTATGTAACAAGCACTTTACTAAGTGCTTTATATACCTTAGTCCATTTAATCTTCAAAACAAGGCTTCGAGGTAGGTAGCACTACTATTTGTTCATACCTTTTCCCTTTCTCCTATTCTTTTCTTAAAGATAAGATACTATACTTTAGAAAGGTTAAATAATGTGTCCAAGGTTAAACTCAATTTCAAGTGCTAGGATAAGAGCCTCACTGTAATCGTAGAATAAAGCTTGGAGTTGGTACTAGAACTTTATAATTTTCTTGACTTTCTAGTGGAGTACAATAACTTGCAGATAAAAAGAGTTAATATAAAAGTGAACTAAACGGCTCAAATTAAGCACGAAAGTTAGTAAAGAATGTTTGAACATTTGGCATGTACACTCATAACTGGATATGCTTATTTGGGTTTACAATAATACCTATTTGTGCTTCTTTGGTAGTCCTTTAGTGAAGAAGATTCATTTAAAAAATGTTCATCAGAAGTCGAAGCTAAAAGTAAGATTGAAGAACTACTTGCCAGTCTTTTGAACAGGTGATTTTCCATTTTGCCATATCATTCTATACTGTATAAGATATATGGAAAGTATAGTTGATGTTCTGTCTTGGAACTTATAGACTAACTGGAGACTGAACAGTGTAAAGAGAGATCATTTATCATTGAATTTCTCTACATTATAAACTATTGCAATTATAGTAACAGGTGCTCTTAACTAAATTTAATTCATTTGTTCCCATTAGTCTTAATTTTGGTAACATTGTGGTTATACTGTGGCTCTTAAGCTGCTCATAGTTACCTAAGAGGGTTTTATGGATATCTAGAATCTCTACACCTATAAATTTGTGATGATTGAGGATAGGAAATTATGAAGACACCAGTGATGGAGAAAGTAGAACCCTCATTATCTCCTTTGCCTCAGACTATATAAAAGAAAACGGACTCAGACAAAGGAGTAGCTCAGTGGGGCTGTGTGTGAGCAGTCAGAGTGTGGTGTGTGCAGGGCACTGGTCTGTAAGTACATGAACATGTCAGCTGGGATTATGAGTATATGAATAGCATAGCATAAACTGAGTAAGATGTTTAGTTTTCTGATGCTCCTTTACTATCCTGTATCTATTTCTCAATGTTCCATAGAAGAGTTTTATCTCTTTTCCTCCCATTTCTTTGATTACTCAAATAAGGTGTCAGGGGTCTAACAGTTTTGAGTAGCTGTACTTCTGTACTTCTGTAAATGAGCGTAAGATGGCTAACTCTGACTAGAGAAAAAGATTTTTAGATGACTAAGTCTCAGTAAACTGATGAGGTAAAATTTCCTACAGCTTTGCTCTCATATGCTGTGTGGTTCTCATGTCTTGAGCAGAGCCGTGCAACTCATCGTTTGCTGCGTGCAACTGGGGCTCGCTGAATGACCCAGCTCCAGTGATATAACTCAGGCTGGGCCTGTGAGTGTTTTTCTGAAACTGGGTCATCTGTTCTGCTTCAGCTAAATGTGAGACTACTATGAAATGCCTGGCCATTAGAAAGAGTTCTGCATGCAGAGAAACCACAATTTCATAGACTCTTATATTTGAAGCATCAACCCAGAAATGAGGCTAGGTGCTCTAAACCTGTAAATGACCAACTATGAACCATTTATCCTTATCTCTGCTTTCCATTCCCTTTCTACACCATGGCCCCTTATTTCAGTGACTGAGGTATAATACCATTGAAGTGACTGGCAAAAAAAAATGATTGTGTTTGTGTGAATGTGTTTTCCCTCTAGTTTAAGCTTGCTTAGAATATAACCTTTTACTAGTATGTCTTAATTAGTTATAGGAACCAAGTAATACTCTTTAAATTGTATGATGAAAAGGTTAACTGGAAGATATTTAATAACATGTTTACAGGAACCATGTAAGATATCTTATTATCTTAGTAAGGCAGCAATCAAGACGTTTTGTGATAAAGCAATAAAGAAAAAAATCATTTATAAAAACCCAAATTTTCCAGTTCAAAATCTTCAATATGAGTGAGGTTAACAATGTACAATATTTTTATTTTGTGTTTGTGATTTTTTAATGCATTGCCATACATATAAAAAGCAAAATATTACTTTAATGACATTTATTCTAGTAATTAGATTTTCTGCTTTTTAAGTGAATTTTCTATCTTGTTAAAACTTTTGTTTTCAACACTGAAACCAAGACCATTTGAATGTAACACTTTTTAAGATGCCTGTACATGTACTACTTAAATATAGTATATAATTGATCATTCAAGCTATTACTTTATTTGCCATATAATGGTGATATTACTGTTCTTTAGGTCTATTCAGGGAGTGCTTGTTGACAAAAATTATCTCATTTAAATTTTTTTTTTCTTTTTGTAATCTTATTTTTTCCTGTGTAAAAAGAATCTGTCATTTTTCATGTATTTGCCTCTGCCAGTGAATAAGTCCCTTAGTTTCTTTAATTTCCTGCCAATTTTGTATGTTGCTTTTAGTTATGTTTGGACTTGGATTATAAAATGACTTGTTATAATTATATCTTATTTCTGTTCTTTTCCTGATTGCACTCAATTCTGAATGGTACCTGGGACCTTACATTTAAGATTTTAGAGCTTTGGTGCATAGATGTGGTGAAATTTGTTTGGGCTATTCAGACTTTTATTGCTTACTGCCTAGTGATCAACCATATTTATAATTGTTACGGTTGTAAATCTGATACTTCTATAGATAAGAACATCTCTCCTTTCTCTTTCCTTTTAGAGTATGCCAAGATGGAAGGAAGCCACATACAATCAGATTAATAATCCGTCGGTATTCATCTGAGAATCACTGTAGCCGTGAGAGTCGTCAGTGCCCTATTCCATCTCATGTGATTCAGAAGTTAGGGACAGGTATGGGCTAATTTTCTAATAATTTAATTGGCCGTTTGAACTCTTTTTTTTTTTAATTTTTAAGATTTTATTTATTTATTTGAGAGAGAGAAAGAGAGCATGAGAGGGGAGAGGGTCAGAGGGAGAAGCGGACTCCCCGCTGAGCTGGGAGCCCGATGGGGGACTCTATCCTGGGACTCCCGGATCATGACCTGAGCCAGAGGCAGTCACCTAACCAACTGAGCCACCCAGGTGCCTGGCAGGTTGAACTCTTAAAAAAACAAACTTTGAATTAGAAATATGATCCAAAGATGGAGGATCTTCACAGGGAGTTAATGAGCTATTAAATACCTTCATTCTATCAGGAATTTTTACAGGAAAACTTTGTTGTTGTTTAATAGAGAATGTATTTTATGGCACAAGATAACTTCTTTATGGGCATTTAGATTGTTTCCATTTTTTGGCTATTATGAAAAATGGTGCTATGAATATTTGTATGCAAGTCATTGGGCAGATATATGTTTTTGTTTATCTTGGGTAGATCACAAAGAGTGGAATTGCTGGGTTATATGGTAAGTTGAACTTTAAGAAACTACCAAACTTTTTCCCAAAGTGAGTATAACATTTACATTCTTACCAAGAGTGTATGAGGGTTCCGGGCTTTCATATTCTCTCTCACACTTAGTATTGTCAGTTTACTTTATTATAGTCATTCTTGTGGCCTTGCAGTGGTATTTCATTATGTTTTGTGGTTTTTTTTTTTTTTTCTCTTTTATGGATACTGCTTTTGGTGTCTTATTTAAAAAATCTTTGCCTAACCCAAAGGTCACAGATATTTCCTCCTGTGTTTTCTTTTAGAAATTTATAGTTTTAAGCTTTACACTTGATCTAATTTGAGTAAATTTTTGTGTATGGTGTAAGATAAGAGGCTTAGTTCATTCTTCTGTATGTGGATATCCAGTTGTTCCAAAAGAATTTGTTAAACAGATCATTCTTTCTTGAATTGTCATGGCACCTTTGTCAAAAACTAATTGACTCTAAAGAAGTTTACTTCTTGATTTTCTTATTTCATTGATTTATGTGGTTATCCTTATATCAGTTCCACCCTGATACTTTGTTATAAGTTTTGAAATTAAATAGTGTAAGTGCTCCAGCTTTGTTCTATTTTGAATTTCTTTTGGCTATTCATGGTCCTGGGCTTTTGTTTGTAGGAAGATTTTAAAATAGGAATTTGATTTTTTATTTATTTTGTTTATTCTAATTTTCTATTTATTTTGAATCAGTTTTGGTAACTTTTATCTTCTAGGAATGTATCCATTTCATTCAGGTTGTCTAGTTTGTTGGCATGAAGTTGTCAATATTCCCTTATTATCCTTCTAATTTTTGTAGGATCTATAGTGATGTCTCCTCTTTCATTCCTGATTTTGGTAATGCATGTATTCTCCTTTCTTATTTATCATTCTGGCAAAGGTTTATCTGAGTGAGGCCTCACTCAAAGGTTTTATTGATCTAAGATCCAACTTTTGGTATCATTGATTTTTCTGTTGTTTTTCTACTTTCTATTTCATTTATTTCTGCTCTGTCTTTAATTTATTTCTGCTTGCTTTAATTTGTCCTTTTCCCTCTGGTTTGTTAAGATGGAAGCTTATATTATTTGTTTTATACTTATTTTCTAGTAATTCAAGTTTAAAGTGATACATTTCCTTTTTTTTTTTTTTAAAGATTTTATTTATTTATTTGAGAGAGAGAGAATGAGAGAGAGCAAGCACATGAGAGGGGGGAGGGTCAGAGGGAGAAGCAGACTCCCTGCTGAGCAGGGAGCCTGATGCGGGACTCGATCCAGGGACTCCAGGATCATGACCTGAGCCGAAGGCAGTCGCTTAACCAACTGAGCCACCCAGGTGCCCTAAAGTGATACATTTCCTTTTATTGGTGCTTTAGCTGCATTCCATAACATTTGTTGTATTTCCTTTTCATTAAGGTCAAAATCATTTCTAATATCCCTTGTGATTTCTTCTTTGACCCCTAAGCTCATTTAGAAATTTGTTGTTTAGGGTGCCTGGGTGGCTCAGATGGTTAAGCGTCTGCCTTCGGCTCTGGTCATGATCCCGGGGTCCTGGGATCGAGTCCCGCATCGGGCTCCCTGCTAGGCGGGGAGCCTGCTTCTCCCTCTGCCTCTGCCTCTCTCTCTCTCTCTCTCTGACTCTCATGAATAAATAAATAAAACATTTAAGAAAAAAAAAAGAAATTTGTTGTTTAATTTCCAAATATTTGATGATTTCCCAAATTTCATTCTGCTGTTGATTTCTGCTTTAATTTCATGTTGATCAGAGAACATATTTTGAGTAATTTCAGTCTGTCTAGATTTACTGAGTGTAATTTTATTGCCTAGCATATGGTCTGTCCTGGAAAATGCACCAGTTATGTTTGAAGAGTTGAGCAACACTATTAAACTATTCTACCTAATTAAAATTTATGGAAGACTCTGATATAGCATTTTTGAATGGCAGTTTGTCTGGATATAGAATTCTTGACTGTAGGGGCGCCTGGGTGGCTCAGTCGTTAAGCGTCTGCCTTCGGCTCAGGTCATGATCCCAGGGTCCTGGGATCGAGCCCCACATCGGGCTCCCTGCTCCGCAGGAAACCTGCTTCTCCCTCTCCCACTCCCCCTGCTTGTGTTCCCTCTCTCACTGTGTCTCTCTCTGTCAAATAAATAAATAAAATCTTAAAAAAAAAAAAAAAAGAATTCTTGACTGTTTCTTTTCCTACTTTGAATATACCATTCTGTTGTCTTCTGGTTTCCATTATTTATGATGAGGAGTCAGCTCTTAATAGTTTTATCAGTCTCCTTCCAATCAGGAGAGAATAACCACACAAAAATTTAAATAGAGAAAGTTCCACAGAATTATTAACCGTGTTAGGCAAGTGACTATAAAAGTATAAAGAGGACTCTTAAGGGGTACCCAAGGGCTGAGGAAAAGTACCCAAGGAAGGACAATCTTAGAAAGGAGAGTCCCTCTACCCCTTAAGGAGAAGGTGTGGTTGTAGAACATTGGATGGTGGAGAAATCCTTTGAATTACCTGGCCCAGAGCTGGTCCATAGTTATTGGACAAAGAGAAAACCATCCTCTGATCTGTGGGTGAGCTGAGGCTGGTTGGTGGGCACACAGAATGAGTTGGGATGTTGGGAGCTTGCTCATTGGTGAGGCAGTGCATGGGTTGGAGCATGCAGTGTTCGTATTGGGAGAACTTCTGTTAACAACCCTTTAGGATGCAGGTAAGCTGAGCCTGGTAGATGGTTGTGCTGAAGGTATCTGTATTCTGCTAGTGCAAAGGTGGAAAGTATGGTGCCTGCATAGGAAGACCTGGAGGAAAGAACCCTCTGAGATAGAGGCAAGTCAAGGCTATTAGGTGGGTGTGCAGAATGAGTGGGGGCACTGTCCTGGTATGTATGGTGTTTAAGTTGGTAGTGCCATGGTACAGTCACTAAGCTCAAGCTGGGGCTCGAGGTTGCTGAGGGACTGAGTGTTCCACATGTGTGTGGTATAGAAAGCACTCTTAGGTGTCCCCACACATATGACTACAAACAAACCATGTAATGGGAGAAAGCAAAATTAAATAACAGTACGTTGGAAATTCATGGAACCAGGAAACAGGTTCCTGGACCAGGAAGATTCTCTTCCTGGTCTTCCAGTGTTCTTTAATGACAAGGTGTAATGTCATATTCAGTGTGAAAAATTTTAGAGTCTAATGCATTATCTCAGAGCAGGTACTGAAGGGTGAATTTGGAGCTGGGTTGTACTGCACTATAATGATAGTTGTATTGTTATTCTCTTTTATTGATGAGTCATTTGTCTCTGTCTTTGTCTTTCATCAGTTTGACCATGATGTGTCTAAGTGTGGAATCTTGTGTTTATCTTTCTCTGGATTTATTGAACTTGATTCTGTAGATTAATTTTTTAATGAAATTTGGGAAGTTTTAGGCTCTTACTTCTTCAAATAGTCTTTCTTGCCCTTTTTTTTCTTTCATCTCCTCTGGGACTTCCATTTCACATATGTTGGTATGATTGATAATAACCTAAAGGTGCATGCAATTCTGTTTATTTTTCTTCAGTCTTTTTTCTCTTCTTTTTAGATTGGATAATTTTTTTTTTTAAAGGATTTTTTTTTTTTAAATATCTTTACACCCAACTTGGGGCTCGAACTTACAACCCTGAGATCAAGAGTTGCATGTTCTACCCACTGAGCCTGCTAGGCACCCAAAGATTGGATAATTTCTATTGAGCTGTCTTCAAGTTCTCTTGATTCAGCTGTCATCTCAGAGCTGCCATTGCCCATCTAGTGATTTTATTTGTTTATTTTGGTTACTGTACTTTTTAACTCTAGACTTTCCATTTGGTTTGTTTGTATGTTTGAGTCTGTTTCCTTATGAGATTCTCCTTCTTTGGTAGTTATCATATTTTATTATTTTTTATTTTTACTTTTTTAAAGATTTATTTATTTATTTATTTGAGAGAGAGAGAGGGAGTGAGATGGGGAGAGGGGCAGAGGGAATCTTAAGCAGACTCCCTGGTGAGTGTGGAGCCCAATGAGGGCTTGATCCCACCACCCATGAGATCATGACCTGAGCCAAAACCAAGAGTCAGATGCTTAACCGACTGAACCACTTAGGCACCCTCATATTTTACTTTAATTCTTTAAAATGGTTTTCTTTAATTCTTTTTTTTTTTTTTTTTAAGATTTTGTTTTTCATTTGAGAGAGAGAGAGACAGAGCACACATGCATGAGTGGGGAAAGGGACAGAGTGGGAGAGAAAGAAGCAGACTCCTTGCTGAGTGTGGAGCCTGACTCAGTGCTCAGTCTTAGGATCCTGAGATCATGACCTGAGCTGAAATCAAGAGTTGGAGGCTTAACCCACTGAGCCACCAAGGTGTCCCTTTAATTTTTTGAACATATCTATAGTAGCAACTTTGAAGTCTGCTAAATCCAACTCAAAGTCAATTTCTATTGACTGCTTTTTCCTCCTGACTAGACTCACACTCCTGTTTCTTCATGTATTATAATATTTTATAGAAAAGTGGACATTTTAGATAATGTATTTTAGCAACTCTGGATTTGGATTTTCTTCTTGTGGGCTTTTTTTTTTTTTCTTTTCCTTTTCTAACTTGTCTGAACTTAAGCTGCAGAATCTACGTCCCCTGTGATGTGTAGCCTCTGATTTCTCTGCTTAGCTTTCTTTTTTTTTTAATTTTGATTTAAATTTTTTATTTTGGCTTCCTAGGTTACCTCTGTGTCTGCATAGTTTAGTGGTTAGCCGATGACCGGTCAAATGCTAGAGCCTGAAAGGCTTGTGCCTTCTGTCAATAGATAAGTGCATGGGTTGGAGAGTGCTTTCAAAATTTAGGCCATTTTCAACTCTGCCTTGGCTTTTATTTTCTGTAGCCTTCTTGTATCGTCCATGTATGCTTGTTGCCATTCCCGTCCGTGATGTGTAGAGAGCTTGGGCCCTCTCTCCCCTCCCCTCCATGTGCATGCAGTCTCCCAGTCAGCTGGGGTTGTGAGGGGAGCTTATCCAGTCCCTGTATGGTTCTCTCATTTCCAGATCTGGTTAAATTTATGGCTCATCCACTGATTTTTCACTCACTCCAGCCACAACTGCAACCTCAGGCTAGAGAGCTGTGTGATTTCCCTAGTTGTTTCCTACCAAGTTTATTCACTTTACTGCAAACACTGCTGGGTATGGGCTTTTGCCCTCTGCCTCAAATCAAGTCTGTCCTTTCTGACAGCAAAGCTACTGGCTCTCACAGCCAGCCTCACCCTGGCAGGACTACTGCGTAGAGCAAGATATGAACAACCCCAGCCAGTAAGGCTGCTGTCTCCTCCTTTCTCATCTAAGTTCTACTAGCTGTTATAAATCTTGCTTCTCAATTTATTTGCCTTTGGTCCATTTTCAGATCCTCAAAATTGTTGTTTTTGACAATGTTTTCCAGTTTTATTATAGTTTTATGGGGAGAAGATTTTCTGATCTGATCACACTGCCATAACTGGAAGTCCCATATTTCAAATCATTTGAAAACTTTACCTTATTTGGCATTTAGTGTTGAGATTGTCCCAGTGTAGTATATACTGTCAGGATGTCCCAATGATACTGTTTAGGATTTTAACTTCTTAATCTAAGCAATATAAATTAGATTAAGCTTTTAATATTAATCATGACAATGTGCTTAGATACAGTCTTCTCAAACATTTTGTTTAGGAAATTGCGATGTGATGACCCCAATGGTTGATATACTTATGAAACTTTTTCGAAATATGGTGAATGTGAAGATGCCATTTCATCTTACCCTTTTAAGTGTGTGCCTCTGCAACCTTAAAACATTAAATACTGCTAAGAAAGGAACTATTGATTATTATTTAACACCATCATTATCAACAACTTCACGGTCTGGCAAGCGCAGTTTTGTAAGTACGCCCTTGTTGGATTTGTGTGGTTAAATTACAAATCTAAGTTTGTGTTCCATTGATATAATTTAGAGAGTCTTTTGGATGATATTGTTTGAATGACTTACTTGTGTATATTACTTCTCATATTATGGTTGCTACTGTACTGTGATCTAAGAAGAAAACATAAGCATCACTGGATAAAAGAGAAAACCATAATGGACGTTCCTTGTTTTGGAGGTGTTAAAACATTTTATAGCAACAGGAATATGATGATTAGCTAATAAAAAAATATTTCTAGATACTGGAAATAAAATCTTTTTGTCTATTAATTTATATATAAGCTACCAGCATCCCCCCAATGTTTTTGTTAAAGTATTTAAATTTTGGGGGTGCCTGGGTGGCTCAGTCAGTTAAACGTCTGCCTTCGGCTCAGGTCATGGTCCCGGGGTCCTGGGATCGAGCCCTGCATCGGGCTCCTTGCTCAGCAGGAAGCCTGCTTCTCCCTCTGCCTGCTGCTCCCCTTGTGCGCTCTCTGTTGAATAAATAAATAAAATCTTAAAAAAAAAATTTTTTTTTCTTGGTTTTGAAATTACATTGAATTTTGATAACAAGATTGATATATGACTACTCATTCTACAATTGTAGAAATTAAGAGTGTGGCAGTAAAGAAGCAGAGGCCGGTCATATTTCCAAGTGACTAAAACAAAACCTTATATTTATGGCCATTTAGCAAACCTCTAGTTACTAAATATGGGATGCTTTAAAAAAAAATCATATTTTACTAAATTGTGCTTGCCTATAATTAACTCTTAATTCAAAATGTTTTTATTATTTTCTTTGTTTTAATGTTTAATCAGTATAATTTCAGTAATATTTTCATTTACATTTCAGTTTAAAATGAGAACGGGATCCTGTTACAGAAATAGTGAATCAGTGCCCTCTTCAAATTACTTTTTTTTCTGTGGCCCTTTTTATTCCCTTTATTAACTGAAATTTAAAAAGGAGTTTACTTTTTACCTCTTATTTGGTAGAATCAGAATTATAAGTCTTTATAGTGGTATTAGAGAGGTAAACATAAGCAAAAGTACCTTGTACATGTCTGGCATACAATAAATATAGTGTCCCAGATCTCTTCTCCTTTTACTTTTTTTGCAGTTACTGTTGTGTTGATGTTTCCTGAGTTATATTTGATTGTGTATACATTTTCATGGTGCTTAAAACTAGAGGGAAAATTTAAGTGAAAAATTTACATAGAAAAATTACGCAAATTAGAACTGAAAGTGTTTTTAAATTTTTATTTTATGTAAATATAAACAGTATTATATCTTCATTTTGTTGTTGAGATTTTGCCATAGAAATATATTTTTTTTCTTTCTGTTAAATGTAACACTTCGGAATAGGGATTTTGAGAAAACCAGCCCTTGATGCTCTAACATATATATATTTTTTAGATACCCATAGGTGAATCATTTACTTTTCTAGGCTACCATTCCTTTATTCACAGAACTGTAAATTTGAAAACACGATTGTTAAGGTACTTTCTAGGTTTCCAAACACTTACCTATCTTCTGGCTCAGTGCTATCTAGGAAGGAAATCTCTACCTAGAATAGTGAATAAAGATGCACACAATAGTGTGACTAATTGTGGTGGGTTTATCATCCCTAGTGGTTTGGAACTGGCCAAAAGGAATGAAATTATTGAGTAGGTTAGAAACATGTTGGTCAGATAATGGCTATAGTACTCTTCAGCAGCATGAATATTTAAAAGATAGCAGATATCTTAAATTACTCTGTTATTCTTGTGTTCTAGAAAACGAAAGACAGTCATATGGAGGATTTTTCCAAAGACAAAGAAACAAATTGGGATTTTCTACCATCTGGAAGAATTGAAAGTACAAGAACTGGGGAGGCTCCACTAGATACTAATTTTTCTAAAGACAAAGACAGTGATGAATTCCCACTCTGCTCACTTCCTGAAGGTATTGACCAAGAAGTCTTTAAGCAGCTTCCAGTAGATATTCAAGAAGAAATCCTTTCTGGAAAATCTGGAGAAAAAGTTCAAGGCAAAGGAAGTTTGAGTTGTACATTACATGCCTCTAGAGGAGTATTATCTTTCTTTTCTACAAAACAAATGCAAGATAGCCCCTTAAATCCTACAGATCATTTATCCAATAGTAAACAGATATCATCTGTGTCTCCCTGTGAACCAGGAACATCAGGTTTAAATAGCGGTAGTTCCTCTTCTCCGTCTAGCCAAAAGGATTATTCACATTATGTAGACAGTAGATTAAAAGATGAACGAATGAGTCAAGGACCTAAACAATCTCAAGGATTTCATTTTTCAAATACAAACCCTGCCGTATCTATTTTCCATTCATTTCCAAATTTGCAGAGTGAGCGACTGTTCTCCAAAAACCGCACTACAGATAGCCATAAGGAATCAACAGTGACAGTCTCTCATCATGAAAGACTTACAGAAAATAAAGAGCAAGATTCTAGTGATGAGAAAATTACCTTTCCTTCTGACATTGATCCTGAAGTTTTCTACGAACTACCAGAAGAGGTACAAAAAGAGCTGTTGGCCGACTGGAAGAGAGCAGGGTCAGATTTGCCCATTGTACAGAAATAAGCATGTTCAGAAAAAAGGTCTAGAAAGCAAAGGAAAAGCCATTGTTCTCAGATTTAGCAGTTTATTAAGCTCCTCTAAATTAAACACTAATAGATATTCAATAATGTAGAAATCCAATATAAAATGTTCTAGATAAAAGCAAGTGTAGTTATGGGAAGTAAATTCTGGCACAAAGCATAAAAATATTCGTAACAGAAGAAATAATGTAAAATTATCTTATTTCTAAAGCTATTTTATATTGCTTTTCAATAAAAAGAATACCATGGTTAGTATTAGTACATTTCCCATAAATTGGGGAGGGGGGAAGGGGGAGAGATATACACCTATGTGTAAAAAATAGACTAGCCAAATCATTGCTATGACAGCAAAGAAGAATTTTTTTTCTGTGAAATATGGAATGGCTCAAGAAATTCAGCCCATTAGGAAACTTCCAAATAAGAAATTCTACTGCCAACTACTAAATATTCAGATATCTTTGACTGATGTACTGTGTACCATTTAATAAAATGATTTTTAAATACCAAAGCAACATATATCCAGTTCATGCTTCTGAGTACACCAGAACCTACTACAGTGCCTAGTACGTAGAAGGCACTCAGTAAATACTGACTGAATGGTGTGGCAGGGGCCAGGTGGGAAGTTGGGTAGGGGAGTGTCCATGTTGTAGAGAACTAGAAGGAACTCTCCATCCAGGTAGATTAAGGGAAGGATGGACACCAGAAAGGCAATGTGATAGTTTTTAAGAATGCTAGGTAATGGAAGAAGTCCATTTCCTTCTGGCTCATCTGTGTAGGGTTTTAAAGTAATGATTAGATGTTTTTGCATCTTATTTTTGGAGATGAGATTAAGGATGTCATATCCACGACAAATATGCACAATTACTAAATCGATAGGTGTTCTCTTTTTCCCATTGTTAATTGCCTTCCCCTTTTGCCTGCAATGTTAAAAATTGGGTATAAGATTGTGGACATCTTATAATTTGCAAGACATAAGTTTCTAGAACACATCAAAGTATACTCCAGCACTGATTCGGAAGAGTCCTTTTCTCGAGTTCATAACCTTTGCAGATATAATCTAAAGAAAAAATGATAATAAAGTATACAAATGTGAATAAAGAGTAACGGAAAGATACTTTCTTTTAGGTAAGAAGTTTTAACTTAGTTTTAGATTTTTTGAAATTTGAAAATTTCCTAACCAAGGATTTTTAACAGGGAGTTTGGGGTTATCAAAAACAATAACTTAGGGCACCTGGGTGGCTCAGTTGGTTAAGCGGCTGCCTTCGGCTCAGGTCGTGATCCTGGAGTCCCGGGATTGAGTCCCGCATCGGGCTCCCTGCTTGGCGGGGAGTCTGCTTCTCCCTCTGACCCTCCCCCCTCTCATGTGCTCTCTCATTCTTTCTCTCTCAAATAAATAAATAAAATCTTTAAAAAAAAAAAAAACAACTTAGAGCAAGAACCTCAAAAGTTATTCATACGCAAATATTTAGTATTCTGGATCAAGGACTATGGAATTTTCTACACGTAATATACTGGTAAGATTGTTAACCTGATAAAAAGGATATATTACTTTTTTAGATAATACATTTAAATTTTTTTTCTAATAATCCTTGTATTATTTCAGCCAGAAATTATTAAGCAACTAGAAAGGTTTAAAAAAAAAAAAAGTTAAGAATGAAACAGTTTTGGCCAGTTTAAAAAGAGAATAAAATAGTAGTTAAAGTACACTTTCTGAAGTGAGAATGCAGTGGGTATTATCGAAGCATTGTTACTCATTCTGTGGCTTTAAGTTAGCCTTTTAACATCTTAGTGCTTCTGCATTCTGACTTTCTAGTTTATCTTTTATTTTCATCTCCTTTTAATCCTTATTTTTGTTTTTCCTTTGGTGTTCTACAGATTTAATATAATGTTTGGAGATGTGAATTTCCTTTTTATCCTCAATAAATGCTGGCTTCCCATTTCTTTCAATTTATGTTAGTTCTGTAAAACATTTGGCCACTAGTTCTTCAAATACTGCTTTTCTATTCTTTTAGGACTCTGCACAAATTATGGACTTTCTTATTCCATCCTTCATGTCCCTTAATCTCATAATTTTTGTCATCTTGTTTATCTGCTGCATTTTGGTTAATTTCATCAGCTCTGTCTCTTGTTCATTAATTTGTTTTTCAGCATTGATCTGTTTAAAACACTAATGATGGTTTTAATTTTAATAATTATATTTTTCATTTGATTCTTTTTCTGATCTTCCCATTTATTCATTATAGCCTTTTATAAGTCCGTTTCTAATTTTTAAAAACTCATAAATATTTTATATTCTATTTTTGGTCATTTCAATATTTTAAGTCTTTATAAGTAAGTTTTTGGATATTGTCGTGTACCTGTCGATTAGCCTGTTTCCTTGAGTGTGTGGCTGAGTTTAGTCTGTGGGAAGACAAAGGACTGAAATTGTGCATGCTTCCCTTCAGATATGATTTGCATTTTTTTTTTTTTAAGATTTTATTTATTTGAGAGAATGAGATAGAGAGGGAGCATGAGAGGGGGGAAGGTCAGAGGGAGAAGCAGACTCCCCGCCGAGCAAGGAGCCCGATGCGGGACTCGATCCCGGGACTCCAGGATCATGACCTGAGCCGAAGGCAGTCGCTTAACCAACTGAGCCACCCAGGCGCCCCAGATATGATTTGCATTTGCTTCCAGTGAGTCAGTACGAACCCATTTGGTATCACTGTAGCCCCCTGAAGGGTCCTTCCTGAATGCAGTTGTCTTAGTTTGTCTTATTTTCAGCTCCCTGACCTTGCTACTGTCCCAAGGTTTTGTCTCCAAAGGTGGTTTGCAGGCATTTGCTGTCAGGGTGAACCCCACCTTTCAAGAAAGTTTGCTTTTTGCCTGATGCTTCCTGATCCTTTCCTGCTTTTGTTTCAGCTCAGTTTTTTCCCCCTGTGATTGTAGGGGATTCGGGCCTGGAGATTTCCCTTATATAGTTCAACCGACAATGAATTAAAAAATCTGTTTTCTACGGAATCTAGTATTTTGTATTGAAGGAACTCTTAAGGGTATTTGTCCCTCCATAGTGCAGAAGTGGAAATCTATTTGGATTTATTTTTTCCATATTATTTATGCTTTCTGTTTTTCTCTTTTTCTATGCTATGCTATACTTCTTTCCCATCTTTTTTCTCATCTTGTTTTTGGATTACTTGAATTTTTAAAATATATTTTCCCTTGACTGATTTGAAATGTAAACATTCTAAGTATTCTTGATTACCCTTAAAAATTAAACATGCCTAACATCCAAAAATGGTAAATATATGTACCTTTTTCCAAACAACATAAAGATGTTAAAATATGTTAATTTTTAAAAAAAGATTTTATTTATTTATTTGAGAGAGAATGAGAGAGAGAGAGCACATGAGAGGGGGGAGGGTCAGAGGGAGAAGCAGACTGCCCGTGGAGCAGGGAGCCCGATGCGGGACTTGATCCTGGGGCTCCAGGATCATGACCTGAGCCGAAGGCAGTCGCTTAACCAACTGAGCCACCCAGGAACCCTAAAATATGTTGATTTTAATTCCTCTAGTTCTTTATTAACCTCCAAATTGGATATTACTAGTATTTTATAGAGTTAATGTTTAGATTTATGCACATGATTATCTTTTTTTTCTGCTTACCTTTTTTACTTGCATCTCATACATTCATTCCTTCAAAGTAGAATTCACTTTCTGAAATTATGTCTTTAAAACTGTGGATTTTGAGCTGACTTCTTTGGACTTTTAAGATATTCCCTTTTACCTTTGGAGATCTGCAATTTTTATTGTATGTCTAGCTACAGACTTCTTTTTATCATGGTTGGGATTTAGGTGCTTCCTGAATCTGCAGGTTTATGCCTTCATCAAATCTGGATTAATTTCAATATTTAAAAATATTTTTTTGTGAAATTTATATGCAGAAAAGTGCGTAAGTAAGTTAATGGGTAATTATAAGCAACAACTATGTAACTAGGTCAAGAAATAAAACATATCAAGTGATCAGGAAAGTCCAGAGGTTTTTTTGTTTGTTTGTTTTTGGTTATGTAACTAACTCAAGGGGTTCGCTGTTGGGGGGTTGAACATCACATTGAACACAACCCAAGGAAATGTTGAAAGCAAAGAACTTTTTATTGCTTGTTACAAGTAAGAAGACAGGAAGGTAGCTCCCCAAGAACTGTCTCACCATGCGGTTAGTGTGGGAAGCTTTTATTCAGTGTGAGGGTGGGAGCAGGGAGCTTGCACAGGCACTTTGGTTCAATTGCTCATACCTAGCCTGTTGAGGGGCTAGTGCATACATCATATGTTCAAAAAATGGCAGAAAACTCCACCCGTAGAAGGAGATTGTAGCATTATAATGAGCTAAATGTAACTTTAGGACAACTCAGCTGGAACCCCTGGTCCTCAGCTCCAGTCCAGCTCAAACTAGCTCAGCTGTGGGGCTCTCAGGTGAGACACATCTAGCAAGGGGCTATCAGGTGAAACACCAGTTGAGCTTCTATTTGGCTGGAACTGTTGGTTCTGCAAAACAAAATACATTCCTTCCCTGCTTTTGTCCCTTCCCCCACCTCCCTTCTGCTGAGAGCTTTCAGGTCTCTTTGAGTAACTTTCCGTTCCATCCTAGATAACAGTTGTTTTCTTTTTAAATTTAGATATAATTGACATACTATCTCAGGGGTACAATATAATCATTCGATGTTTGTATATGTTGTAAAATGATCACCACAGTAAGTCTAGCATCTATCACCATTCTTAGTTACAAAATTTTTTTTTCCTTGTGATGAGAACTTTTAAAGATCTAAGGAAGTCCAGAGTTTTTCTTAGGGTATCATCATGTTGGGAGGGTTTAGTAAATCATTGACCTTGTGGTTAAACTCAGTCTCCAATTCCCCAGGGCTCCTACCCTCCCAGGATGTCAGGATGGCTCAAAGTCTCAATATTCTAATCATGTGGTGGTCTTTTTGGTGTGGGCTCTTGCCATCCTAAGCCTTCTTGTTGACATAAACTAGCCCCCCCCACCCCTCCCCCTGCCCCATGAGTCACCTCATTAGCATATACCATGATGAATAAAAAAGACACATTGGGAAATTCTAAGAGTTTTAGGAGCTCCATGCCAGGACAAAGACCAGATAAGTTCTACTGCAGAATATTTTGAAATAAGTCTTGAGATGTTTTATGACCCCAAATGTTCCCTACCTTAGTAAATGTTATGTGTGCGCTTGAATGTGTGTTTTGCTGTTGGTTGGAATATTGTATAAATGTCAATTAGCTTTAGTTAGTATTCAAATCTTCTGTATCCTTACTGATATTTTTGTATATTAATAATTGAGAGAAGAGTATTCAAATCTCCAACTATAATTATAAATGTATCTTTTTCTCCTTGCAGTTTTTTATCAAGTTTTGCTTCATGTTATTTGAAGACACATTCAGGGCTATTATGTTTTAAGGAATTGGCCCCTTTATCATCCTGAAATGACCTGCTCTGAAGACCAGTTTCTTCATAAGAGCCACTATAGCTT